TGTGAGTAAACTCTTAAATAAAAACAAAATATAAAAAATTTAAAATGTAGCCTTTTGTTTGAAGTAATTAGATGCTTAGAGTGCCTGTAAACTAGCAGCTATGTACTTTGTGTCATATTTAATGAGTAACTCTTGGGTAATCAAATGGCCATCTAGTATCTTAGCTTAAATCCTTACGAGGCAATCCTTTGTGGCTTTGTTAAGTTTTGGCATAGAATGGTCATTTTTCTATACACTGACAAGATAAACTTTTTAGTACCTCAAATTTTTTTTTAAGTATCACTTTTAGGGAAGGTCTCTTCTCTGCCCACTACTTATTACACAGTTTATGGATTAGGATTTAAAAGATATAATTTTTCTTAACCTGTTGCTTTCTTGTGTTTTTTTTGACAGAGACATTTTAAAGGTTAATTTCACTAAGGCCATCAGACTTCATTAAAGCTCTGCATTTAGCTTAAAAAGTCAATCTCATGAGTGTAGAATTTGGGGAATGGGTAGAAGTAGGGAGATCTAATTTTATAACAATTCATATAAAATTATTTAGTACAGTGTTAGTTGGCTACAAGCTCAATATAGGCCAACAGTGTGTTGGGCTCACCAAAAACGTTGACGCAATCTTAGAATACTTAGGGATTAAAAAGAAGGAAGAAGGAATTCATTCATTTGTTTGTTCGTTCATTCATCCATCCTATATGAATGTGTACCCTGTGCCAGAGTCTTGGAGATAGAACAACAAATAAAATAGGCTTGCTTTTGTGGAGCCTATAGTCTGTTGAGAATGGCAGACAATTAAAATGCAAATGTTGGCTGGGTGTGATGGCTCACACCTGTAATGTGAGTGCTTTGGGAGGCTGAGGTGGGAGGATCACTTGAGGTCAGGAGTTCAAGACTGGCCTGAGCAGCATAGAGATACCCTGTCTCTACAAAAACCAGAAAAATCAGCGACGCATGGTGGCATGCCCCTGTAGTCCCAGCTACTCAGAAGGGTAATGCAGAGGATTGCTTGAGCCCAGGAGTTT